GGGGGGGGGGGGGGGGGGGGGGGGTTGAGACAGGATGAAAGAAGAAGGTACTAAAAATAGAAATCGCGACAAAACAGCACTGCTAGTGAGGCGAGCAGACGAAACCAGCGAGCAAAACATCGGTTTGGGGGGAGAACAAAGAATTGATGAGTCGTCATCATACATACAAAAAAATCTCACAGGTTTCTGAAGCTCGTAACCACATGGAAGAATTAAGAATTTATCGGAAGTCAGGAAGTGCTTTATTCTCCTCATTTAATTGTTTCCCTACCTTCCTTAAAAAGAGGCGTCCTTAATTCATTCAAATCTTGACCGATACTCCCAAAATTCAATCCAAATCTTTTCATTTAGCAGATAAATACACCCTCATCATCATGTACATGGTAGTTGTGCGGCAGGTCTCATGGTCTGCTATTTAATCTAAAGCGAAAGCATGACAGCCAAATAAATTCAGGCCATAATTACCATTACGTGTCCATGGTACAAACTCCGATTTATGACTTTGAATTAATTCTCTTGTAGATGTGTTAGGAATCACTAGAAACGGTTTGTGAAAGTATTCTTCAGTGAAATCCAAAATTCATCACAATTTTTCTGAAAAAATAGGCTTTAGTGGAACCAATCGAATTCCAATATTAGCAACTGTAATTTTAAGAACGTGGACTTTGGAGAAATCTTTATTTTAACTACCCAAATCCACGAATTTCATATTTACGTCCTACATTAAAAGCACAGTATGAAAATTCGCAGTAGCAGTACAATAGCACTACATTTGATTACTTCGTACTTTTCATAGACCAAGAGACAGTAAAATTATCGTTCGTTGTTTACCAAAGGGCAGTTTGTGAAAATTGACATCCATTTCAATTACCATTAAATAGTTTTCAAGTAGGCTCAAAAATAAACTCCAAATCAGGGAAATCGTTGCTCTCAGGACCAAACTCCTACAATTTCACTAACAGTTTCTTATGGAAACCATTACACTGATGTCAATATAATTAGAAATGGGGTCCGCGATAGACTTACCTCCATGTGGTGCACCCTGGGCAACGTATACTCATACGGCAAAAAATTCTATTAACCGGCAGTTGACTTCTCACTTCAAACTACCATGACCCCACTGTATGTTAAATTCGACCACTTCAACAGTACTCATCTTACCTTTTCTCAGCCTATGTGACTACCTTTCCCTTTACGTATGTAAATCACTCTTCTCTTCCCCCCTCCCCCTCTCGAATTTTTCTCACTTTATTGTTCCCGTCCCGCCCCCCAGTCTCGACTTTTTTTCACTTTGATGTAATTCTGTTCCCCACCCATCGCCTTTATTCTACTTTGGTGAACCTTCCCTCTGTGAAGCCCGAAGTCAGCTAAATGGCTAATGACCCCCTCTGTGAAGTCCGAAGTCAGCTAAAGGGCTAATGATGACTATCAATATGCCTGCCATTTGAAATAAATAAATATAATTAGAAGCTTTGAAGTGAAAATTGATTATAAATAGACTATAAATGATAAATCCACTTGCAAATATCCCTCCTTCTCTTAGGCAACAAAATGGTAAGTAGAGTTTTAGGCGAGACGATAGTGTAAGAGCACGCATTTCAAAGGCGACTGGAGTTGTTCTTTGCACAATGCAACCTACAGTGACGCAAACGGAGCAAACAACTTCAAAGGCTTAATTGATAATCAACTTGTTTTCACAAAGCAATTAGTTGAGAGATACGAGAAGTGGGGAGACAGCTCTCTCTCTAAAGTTCAGACAGAAGGTACGAAGTAGTTGATACTACAACCATATCTACATCTATCACATTATTTGACGACACTTAATGCTAGGAATGATGTGAGGCTTCAAATTCCAAGTTGCTTTCAGAGTCAGAACGTTAAGAAATGGAAAGAATTTTGAAGTCAGGGTTAGTCCAACCAGAGCGCCGAAACAGAAAGATCATAGTGAATTGATGAAGAAGAAGAAGAAACAGAAAAAGGAAACCGAAAGACCAAAAACTGAACTCAAATGTCACTTAGTACAAAATTTGGATGATGGAAAAGGAAGGGAACTCAGAAGGATTGTTTGGAAACAAAATAACCAGAGCAGGACATCAATAGCAATTTCAGACTGCACAGTAAGCAGGTAGTAGTGATTTATCTGGCACAAAGGTAAAAAAAACTTGGCTGGTAAAAATTTAGCGAGATAGAATGATAAATCGTTCAATTTAATCAACAAGTAAACAAGCTCCGACAACTCCACTTACGAACCGAAGAGCCCAATTCTGAAATTTGACCTTTTGAAACATTAGAAGGCAACAGTGAATCATACTCATTGAGTAAGAAGAGGACAACAGGATAAATCCGTAATTCAAGTGAAACAAGGCTTCCATATTACCCGACTTTATTCTTAACCTCCATTTATACCAATTTTTTACGTTTAAATGATCGCCCCATTAAGTAAATTTTGTATATTTCTCGTCGGATGTGAAGAAAAATATTATTACGGATATTTTTAAATAGACGCTCTCGACCTCTCGTAATTGCCTCAGATTGAGAGAAAAATTTATACGAAAATTAAGCAGCACTCATTCCAGATTCACGAAAACGGCGATCTATCAAGGTTGCTACCCCGGCCGCTCAAAATACGAAATGTTGGAAGCTGTGGATTTCCCTACATTATTCAAATGTTCTCTTTAAACGAGGGACTTAGCTTGGGCACACTTTCAATCCCCTATCTGAAGCCAAAAAGGGTGCATCTGCTTTGAACCAGAAATTATGAACAGATTTAAGTGAATCTACCAAATGAAAACAAAAATATAAAAAATTCATATCAAAGATTGAGGAGTACCAAAACAAAAAACTCCAGCGAAATAATTATATCAGAAGCAGTGTGTTATTGTCAAGTCCATCGTGAGGGCCCCTTCAAGTCAAAGTAAACTTACTTACAGAGGTGACATTTGAAAAGCGAAGTTTAACACTTTCACGAACATTTTCACTCCGATTCAATAAACTTGATTCCTGACAGTTGATATTAATGAGCAAAATGTTTAAGCTAAGCTGTCTCATCGACATTTACAGCTGAAACAAGTGAAAACCGTTAATATGTTGGTAGTCTCAAAACCATAACAGTTTTGACAGGGAAATAGTCATTACTAAATTTAGCGGTCAATTTGATTGGAAGCCTCCATCTGATATTTTCGCAAGATTAAAGAAGATGATATACACTGATATATCGCTATATAACAACTGAATGGTGCGAATATCGCATAATATGATATCCTTTCAGAAAGCAATAAAACGAATATAAATACAATGTGGAAAATCTATCAAACATACAAGTGAGTACAGCTAAGCTGAATCAATTCAATTCAAAAAATTCCGGCTGGATTAACTTAGTACTCTGTAGCTCCAGAGTTGGAGTTAGTATGACCACTCAATCTTTAAAACTTCTACAAATCTAGAAGTGGTTTTAAATAGAAGTACGAATGAATGTAACTCTGGAGTTAGGGCAATTTTCTACTCAAGAACCTTCAGTCTGAGGACCAATTTGAATGCCAACTCAAGTAGCCAAAGGCACAAAGAACTTATGAATAAATCAGAAAATAATCGTTACCCGACCACAAAAGAAATTCTATTTTCTTAGCAGAAGTAAAGTTTTCTAATTTCACTTTCCTCTTCCTACTCAATATAGCATCACCTATACATCTCTTTGCCAGAATCGTATCTTCGAGAAGAATCTCTGGTGAAAATTTGAGTTAGGTACTAGGCTTCAATTGGAATACAAGGGAAACAAAGTGCTTCAGAGCAATGGAAATTGCTATTGAGTCAAATTAGTTCCAAGAAATTGTTTAGGAAGCATACAATGAGACAACAACAGAATCAAAACAGTTTTAATTCACCATTTAAGATAAGCCCACTCGAAAGAAAATTGTAATATTTCAAAGCTAGTTTCCACAGATAATGCCTAAAAGTTTACAAACTCAATTGAATACAGGTTAGAAAATGCTTCTTTTGCAGATGAAGTCAGGAACCAGAGTGGAGAATTTCGTGGGAGCTACTGCGCATAAATTAGCCATACCGCTGCCACCACAATACACTCCCCCCCCCTCCCAACCCCCTCCTCCTTAACTGTTTAATCAAGCACGTATTCGCTCATACAAGGAATTCACGCAGAAGCACGTTTGCACGAGTGCGAAAAAGGAAAAAGAGAGAATGAACGAACGAACGAACGAAACATCATCATCATCATCGTGGAAACAATTAATTACTTCCAGACAGTCCCATTGAAGTGTAATCGCAATGCGTTTGCAAATTCTAGTAAGCTTCCGACATTTTGTCGATTTTCTAACATTATTTAGAATCTGCTTGGTGGACTTTACTCGGCATTTCTGTCCTTCAAATATGAGAATACTCTGCTTCTGCCAAGCTCTGGTTCCTAACTTATTGTTGTGGGGTTCATAAAGTTGGAAGGGGCTAGAGATTAATCAGCCTTCTTCAGCCTACATTGACCTTTTTCTCTGGTCTAGAAACCCTCCTGCTAAAGACAGGTAAGTATGATTACTCTAAGCCAATTTCGTCCCCTGACTGTGTAATTTGAAAAGAAGAGGAAATATTATCGGCATACACAAATAAACGACCTGGAAACTTAAACGATAACTGTCGAGTCACCAGTCAGTATTTTCAAAGTGAAAAATTCGAGAACATGTTCGCTTCTACGAAAAGACAAATGAGATCGAGAAAATTATCAAGAACTCAAGTCTTCACTCTTGAAAACAAACATTCAATGGAATAGTCACTCACCTGCGTTGAAAACTAGGCCGAAAGCTAATGCTCACAAAATTTCCGGTAAAGAGGTTTTAAGGATAAATGGATCCCAAACGCAACTACGGCAACGCAGAAATCTTTTTTCCAAACTGACACCTCTCCCACTCCCCCCCCCCCACAAACCCCGTTCATATTATCTTTATAATGCTCTCGAAAACATACCAAACGCCTAAACAGTACCAAGATAAGACCTTTTTGTTCAAGTTAATTAAATAATGATGCTTACCTTATCGGAGCCCTTGCCACCATCAATTCGACGCATTCGTCCCTTGGCATCGGGTCGACTAAGAACACAAGAGTCAGGGTCATTGAGAGCATCTGGGTCACCAAGCCAACACTTGATGAACTTCAACACAGAGTCTGCTTGGAGTTCTTTGTGAAGCTTTTTGAGAAGATTCACTACTGTGTCAGTCTCCATGATCTGGTTCATCTCCTGTTTGGTTGAAGAGAGAGAGAGAGAGAGAGGAGATGAGATTAATCGTGTGTTACGTGTCAGAGTTAAAGCCACTGGTAAATTAAGCTATTGAATGTATCTATTCAATGAGTGTTAAGATAAGATATAAAGTGTGATAAGCCGGCTAAAAGATGGTTCGACAATTGAAATGAAAGTTTAGGTCAGGAACAGGTCGATATTGCTTTCTAATTGTAAAACTATATTAGAAAATGTGTTGAAGAACTGATGAATAAAAGTAAGAAACTCAGGCTCATATAGAATAAGTACGTGATAGTATTAACCAATCCTTTAAGTTTGATCAATTCTAGATGTTCATTTTCTTCTGTTTGCAAAGAAATAGGCCCGGTTTTATAGAATACGCAATTAGGAAAAATAAATGTAACTCCTGGAACATGAAAGCTGGCATTCAACAAAACTTTCAATAAATTACCTTCGGTTACTAAAATTGGTCAACTGAACGTCACAAACAACCAAAGCCCAAAGATTAAATTTTGTGAGAATTTGTTGGCGGTATCAATTTCCACTCGATCTTCTTCTTTAGCCCCCCCCCCACCCCTATTTTGGGCCGCTTTATTGCTGGTGGTGTTTAAAAGCTCTCCCACGATGAAAAATTGTAATTTTTTGCTTTGTTGTGGGTAATAACAAAATATTCATAAATCCACCTGAATTGTATTTTGATATGCCTAATATTGACATTAATAGTTCACTTGAGAGGACTTATTAACCAGACCTAGACAATGCTGACTTAAGAGAGTGTTAAGACGATTTCCTGCCCAGCTCTAGAATCAAGTAACTAAGTAAAATTGGATAAGTGGATAAACAACTACTTTATTTAAAGTAAGAAACTCAAAGCAAAGTCAGAAATCGGCACAAAATGTCATATTTTTAGGCATTATTGATCAATTAAAGGAATGGATCACAAAAAATGGCTTTACCAATAAGTGCATTAAAGATGTTTATCCGAAATCCTGGCAAAACTGACTTCAATTACATATTGGTAAATATCAAAATATAATCAAAATACAACACTATACAATACTATACCATATATTTGAACTTGGGAAAGCTGAAAAAATATTTTAATCCATGATCTGATTAGAGTAAAAACAGTAGAATACGAGAATAAAAACTAATCCTGTTACTTTACACGAGCGAAATAAAAAAAACTTTATAAAATGGTAAGTCAACCAGCCCCTTTTGTCATTAGACGCTTAAACTAATTCCAACCAACTAATGATGGGAAAAACCACCATTTATAGTAACTTATAAAGCTGAAACATGCCGAGTTATGCACTTAATGTAAAAATCTTGTTCAAAAGAAAATTACTTCGAGTTTTATCATGCCGGTGACGATGTGATATATATGAAATAAAAAGTAAGGTCATAGCTCTGAAGCGGAACCACCAACAGTTTTGTTGGAAACAGTAAGTTCTTCTAATGTATGGTAAATGCAAACGGGTTTAGGAAGTGTGGAAGAATTAGGTAGGTAAAATCCTTTGGTTTTGAGAAACAATGTTCATTGTCACACGTATAACTGAGCTTTAATTGAACGGAATGCAGACAATAAAGTCGTTTGGGCAAAGCGGAACCGACTGTAAGTTCGGTAAAGCAAAAATTGATGACTTCATGACCCAGATCTCCTAAGTTCACAACCCATCACCTTTTTCTTTATAGCTGTAGCATAGAGGGTTAATAATTAATTTCCCAAATCGAATCTATGATCCGAACTTTATATTGCCAAATTGGTTTAAGTTATGCGACCAACCAAATTCACCTTCCAACTCATCATTCCTATTCAACTTTTATTTAATGATAACGGTGAATTTCTTCACCAACCTAGCAATGATTGCTGAAGCAGAAAACGAAAACACTACAATAAAATGGACAATTTTCTTCCCATTCGTGTAGAAACAACGGGGTTCTGTTAAGTGGGCATCAACAAGTACGAAATTCCCCTGGAATTGGATTAGGCATAGAGGGGGGACATTATTTACCAGGCATAAAAGCGACAATCAAAGTTTGTTTACCCAACTGAGAATTCCGGTATAGGGAAAGCAAAATTGTCACTAAAGAAAAAGAAAACTCATATAGGGAAAACAAGAGACTGAATTTTAAAAAAACCTTAGCGTGAGATAATGGTTTAAGTTGAAATTGGGTCTAGGTCAAACTTGATATTGTAAGGGAATAAAAACCATAATCCAGGCACAATCTGTAGATAGGCTGAGCATACAAAAAAAACAGATTTAAGACAGATGGCCACAGAAAACACAAGTTGTTATTCAGACACTTATAGGAGTTAATCGAGCAGTCTCGTTGATGCTTTTCAAGGGCTCCTGTATCGAAGCAATTTAATGACTTATTCATTGCGTCATATGGAATAAAAACATGGTAAGAGGGACAACTGCTCGTTAAGTCACAAATACCATGATCTGCCTACTGAGTAATCATCGGATGCCTCATCTTAATGTATCGGTAGCGCAGTCATCAACAAACACGCCTATACAATCAGAATTCAAAAGATCCACAAGCGTCACTGAAGCGAATAGCCAACACCCCCATTTAATTCTCACCAACAATAGAGGTAGTCCTAGTCTTCTCACTCGGGAAGGGACGTCAGATGATCCCAGCCCAAATATCATTAGTCGTTTGAGGGGATATCAAACCTCAAGTTCTATAAATTCTGCGCGATTTAAGAAGATGGAAAGTGCAATTACAATAAAAATTATATTATGTCGGTTCCTTTACAGTTGCTTTTTTATGAGAATGATCCATGAACAATTCATTAACGCTTTCTTCAGTCTACTCAATTAACCTACCAAACTCAGACCTTCTAATATCGGGATGTACAACCATAGCTATTGGATTATGGCCAGTAGGCTAAAGAAATTTCTACTTCACTTGCCCTAATATATACAATGAATCTAACCAATAATTACATCATGAAACGACATTAAAATAGCGCTAAGCCGACGAATGCAAAATGCAGACAAGGCCAGACTGACTTGAGAGGGAGGGAATTTATGAAAAACGACCAGAAAGTTTACAGTTTTTATTTGGGTAGTCATGACGTGCATTTTTTAAATAATATAATAAGTGACGTAATAAACGCCTTGGACACTTTTATTATTGAAGAAGTGAAATTCCCATAAATTATAGCCCAAACTTCATCAAATATTTTAGTCATTAAGGGAATCAAAACGGATAATCTTCAACACTCCATTTTTAAATGAAATTGCAACGTGAAGACAAGCAAACATTTACAATACATAAATTCAATAACTCCAATCACCCCCCACCCCCCCCCAATTATTTCTAGTTGCACATTTATCTAATAAAAACAAAGAACACGAAGAACTGAGAATTACATAAGATCACAACTTCCTCTTGTCAGTATAAATGCGTAAACAAACTAAATACGTAATTAAATCAATAAGAACCTGATACTGCGGACAGAAACTCACTCAAGAAAATGGAAAGTAAATGATGAAGATTTAACATTTGAATAGCAAAAAGCGAATCACCGTCTATTTGAAATTGTTGGCAAATCAGTACTTCTACAACCGTTATCCTCTTAACATTAACCACGCTTCTTCCTTCAAGCCTACCTGAACACGTTCACAACCTGGAAAATTTCTTTGCTGTACCATGTGTAATAATTACCGATGGACGTCCATGCCACCTCTAAAATACTCGACCTGCATATGTGATTTGACTTATCATTCCAATAATAATTCCTGTGTATTATAGTGCAACAAGATATGACAAGCGATAACAAACCATAATGCATCGGTGAAATTGAAAACTACATGTAATCCAAAAAGTGGGATACTAAAGTCAATGAGGCATAGCGATGCATGGCCTTCTACTCAGACGAGGGACTTTAGTTAGGAAAAGCGTAAGTGAACATACGATGCATCAGTAAATTAAGGAAAAACCTTTGAATTGCACTGCAAGTGACTGAATATTTCAATAACTGGACGCTTCTCTGACAAATTAAATATTACAAAAAACGTACACGAATTTTCCCAGCAATAATGCTCCAGTCGTTCTGGGTTTGTCCAGAGTTGGTAGACGTGCGCCGATTCTCCTCACGATTACGTTCTCGCATTGAAGAAATACCACGAAACCACAAAGGAGCAATTCTTTTGCACCGGGAGACGATTATTTGGACAAAGAGAGCTTCACTTACAGTACCAGAGGCCCGTGAAGGAGTTACAAAGGCGCCTTGTGTTTGAGAAGGAGCAGAATTCTGTTGTTGCTTTTCATTAGCTGATTGCCCCGATTGTGCAAGATTTACACTACCATCAAGGCACTGATATTTTCGAAAGGAAGGTTCTGTGGATGATAAAGCGGGGGATATCGAAGCATTGTCGTTAAAGCAATAATCATTTTTTTGGGAGACCATACCATCCGATTTACGAAAATCAGATTTATTTAAACCGCTGATACTGTTGTTAGGGACACCAGTAGAAGGAATAAGCATTGGCATACACGAATTGATTTCAGGGATGTACCTTTGCATTATAGGAGATGGCTGCGAAGAAACAGGAATGGAAGGAGCTAGGAGTTCCGAAGAAAATTTCAATGGAGGTTCGGGCTTTGGTTGGTGACCATTATTATCTTTTGAGTAGTCAGAGTATTGAGGTGGTAAAGTATTTTGCTGATAGACGTTAGTATAATTTTCCAATTTAATCTAAGTATTATAATGCAATAAATTTACTTTATTTAAAAATACCTGATTCGGTCCACTGTTAGCAGACGATCGACGTGGTTGAGAATAGTCAATATTAGAAATAAATGAAACCGATTTATCTGGCTCGTCTTGTGCATAAATAAAACTCATTAGGGTTAATTCGAGATACTAGAGCATGTGACGCCACACACGATACTATCCAAAAACTGTCCAAAACATTATCCAATAGCAGCGCCAATTTACATAGATAGACTTAAACCAAGGTCAAGGAAGCCGAAAATATTGCATAAAATTTACTATATTGAACATAGCGTTAATATAGCTAACAAAAACTATTCGAAATATGGTAAAATATTTATTAAAAAATAAAAAATTTGATTGAATATTCAATAACTTTGAGAAATTATTCATGTATTTATTTATGCCAAATGGCAGGCGTTTTGACAGTTATCATTAACCCTTTAGCTGACTTCAGGCTTCACAGAGGGGAGGAACATTAAAGAGGGTGAATTCAAAAGGGGGGACAGAAGAGTGATTAATGGATGCAAAAGAGACAGACTGACAGGTTACAGGTACGATTAGTAACGTGAAATAATGGAATATGACATAAAGTGGGGACATTGTGCTTTGAGGTCAGAGGTTAAATGCTGGTTTGTACCTTTTTTTGCGAATAAGTATACTTTGCCCAGGAAGCACCACGTGGAGGCAAGTCTATCTTACGCTCCTTTTTTAAAAAATTATTTGGCGATTTTATTCCTTAATACTGCCAGTGTCTAAAGTGATATTATTAACAATCGTACATATTTGGTTTTACTTATTTACTATCATTATAATAGATTATTACAATTCCTCATTAAAATATAAGATTACCCCTTTATATCTAATTTGCCACTAATTTTCAACGCTAATCGGTATCATATACCTTGACATAGATGCGCATAAATTAAGCTCTCATACTTACAAATGCTGTTCAATGCTTAACATTTACTGGAAATTCACAAGAAAATTTTTAAATATAACATTTCTTTTATTGCAGACATCAGAAGAGAAATTTCACAGGAGGCGTTTAATAAAAAATAATTAGGAATCTGTGCCATGTGCCCTACCACAGGTTTCTTCGCATATGCGTTTGTAGATGCCCTTGCTTTCAGTTCCTAAATTCCATCTAATTTAAAATACCCCAAAGATGGGAGCGAAAATTCACAAAATTGAATATTCTTAGTATTTTCGAGACAACATATATATGCATATATTACACATAAATAAAACAACAATCTTGTTGTTCAAATCTGATATGAATTGATTTGTTTCTATTACAACGTTCAGAATAGTTCTAAATAAGCGAATATATCTGAAATTTTTCTGCAAATAGAAATTTAGCTAATCTATCGTTCGACGCGAAAAGCGAATCAACTTTTATCCAAGTGTTTCACATGATCACATGTTTATTAAGGTTAACGTATTTTGTTAATGTCTGGCGCTTTTAGTAGTTCTCCAAAAGGTATAAAAGTATTTGATAATAATAAATTATAACAAACATAATTTCCATTTCATAAGTTCAAACTCTGACTGTAAAACATATTTCATTACTGGAATGGAAGGTTAAGAAAGCTATTCGAACAATTAAAAAATATTGAACAGGCTATCACAAGTTTGTGGCAAGATTATAAAACGGGAATACTGAACAGTTTCAAATGAAAAATTAAGCAGAAAACAAAAAGTCAGATTCCGGGAGTTCCAATTGTAGCGGATTGCTACGCCAGTAAAGCCTGACCGACTCAGAAATCTCTATGGCAGATTCTCCAACATCTAGCTAGACTCCCAGAACAAGCTAAGCTATAGCCCAGCTATAAGGGAAACGGACGTGTAGCACGGTACACGTTTATTCGGTACGTATATTGATAGCGAAGTGTAATGTTGGCAAAGCGATTAGTTATCAGATAACTCTAGCATAATTCGTTTGAACTTTAATAGCTAAACATTTCTGAGTACTATTCTATAGCAGGATTTCTATTTTGTCATTGATGAAGTGTCCCACACACTAAACGATAATATTTAAATTAATGCTGAATTTGAGAAATGAACTTAAAAGTGATTATGATTTGCTTTCGATTCAATAATCTACCAGAATTGATTAAGGTAGTTGTGCAGTCTACAAGTAAAGTTAAATGATAACGTAAAATTCGATATTTGATAAGTGGGTTTCAAACGTTGAATCTTTTATATGTTAAACTTTAGTCGTTTGTATGCTTAATGTAGGTAGTATTGTTAAAATTTTGCTGATAACGACTAAGAACAAATGGAATATTTATAAGTTAGGCATGAATAAATGATATTGAGGAATTAAAAGCTCAATTTGGTATTTTAGTTTGTTTAACCGCATTGAGCCTCTCGCGTATGTTTCGGTTTTTCTGCCGAATTTTTCCCTGCTAGTTGTGGTTACTCTATGATGAACGCGAACATGTTGCCCTCTTATATCGGTTCTATGTCCGATTCGAAAAAACATACTTTGTCTCCTTCAGCTAGTGGGACTTCAGTTATGGGTATCCGTTTTAAAAATGGAGTTATCATTGCTGCTGATTCACTGGTTTCATATGGCTCTTTGGCTAGATTTACAGATTTTGATCGCGTTGTTAAGGTAATTAATTTGTTTCCGGTACTAAATTCATAGGTCAATGAAAGCACATTGATGGCATGTTCTGGAGACGTTGCTGATTTTCAATTTTTGAACAGAGAAATTCATAAACAGATATTAACTGAAAACCTACTTGGTGATGGATTTACTACTAGGTTTGTTTACACTTTATTTATTTTTATTTATAGTCCTCAAGCTTTACATTCTTGGATCACACGAGTCATGTACTACCGTCGAAGCCAATTTGATCCTTTCTGGAATTCCTATATTGTTGGTGGTGTTATGAAGAATGGAACACCTTATCTTGGCTATGCGAATATGATTGGTGCCGGTATGTCGTAACCTGTTACTGGTTAAATCATTTATCTTTTCAGTGATTAACTGAGGGTATTATTCTTCGTTCTTTTTATAGCTTTTAACGAGGATGCCATTGCTACTGGTTTTGGCGCACATCTAGCAACTCCCATTCTTCGAAATGCAATTGAAACTAAGGCTGGTGGGGACGCCTCAAAACTCTCTTGTCAAGATGCTCATAAGGCTATCACTGATGCAATGACTGTACTTTTCTATCGCGACTGTCGGTATGTTTTCTCTGCTTATGCATATGTTTTCGTGGTGCTTGTTGCTGGTAATACATTTATTAAGTTTGAGATTACGAGTTAGGTTTTTATTAATGGAAATTCATTGATTAGAACGTTGGAATTATTGTATATTTGAAATAAAGGTTTAAAAAAGCCATTTCATATTCAGAGATGTGGCGTTTAGCGTCTTTCATCAGGAACAATGACAGTAATATTTCCATTCATATGGATTTTAATCTATGTTCGGTTTAATTGAACGAGTATGAGGACGTTGATTACATTGAGCCTCCACTGGAAGTTATATTGAAAATTGCAATTCTTTTATCCTTCTTGTAGTGCTTACAATATGTACAAAATCGCAGTTTGCACAGCAGAAGGTGCAAGGGTTAGTGAAATCCGAAAACTGGAAACGAATTGGTCGATTGCGGAAGAAGTATTCGGCTATGAATAAGTGATGTAACTTTTTCACTGTAATTCACTAACTTGTTTAATGCATTATTACGAAGACTTTTCTTCTGATTTATTCACGGGATACTCTTAACATGTTTTATCTTTGATTTAATTAGCTAAATTAATTGTGGTTGGTGTTATTAAAACATTTCCATTTTAGGTCTTTTAATCTCTTTCAAACCCTCCATAGCTATGCTGGAAGAGGCGCACAGTGTAACATGTGATGCTAGCATTTATAATAAGCGTGTAATGGAAGCATTGTAAATGTACACTTTCTCCTCTATTTTTTGCGCTACTCGAAATACTCTTTCATTATTTCGGAAGTAATATATAAATTCTTATCATTGATAAGATCTTTAGACTACTGGATTTGTTATTATTTGTTGAAAAATATTTATTTTGGGGTGAGTTTATTTCTTAGTATGCCAGATATCTGTATGAACTAATGCCCCCTTAATCAATCCCACCATGTGAATGTTGGTTGCTGATTTCTATCCTTTTGTAAGCAATAGTGCAAATATGTCGCTAACACTATCTAGGTTGGCGAACAGGATACAGCTGTGGAGTGTAAAAATGCCTTTGTTCGATGTTGATTTCACTCTCCAGCCTCATCATAATAACATCAACAGAAGTAGGAGGAGAGTGATGTGGCAAGATGTGAATTCTATTGAGAATTGACGAATAAAAACTATCTGATTTTAATGTGGTGGAGTTTATTAAAGTACACCCAATGTGAAAAAATACCGTGAACGTTGTTGTGGGTCAGTTATTCGTTGAACAGAATCGATTAAGTTAGTTTAGGAATCAATACCCTTCAGTGCGCACCCAGAGTAGAATTTGACCAATTGCAGTGTTTCGAACCCCTCCTACCCAAGTCTTGGATAACAGTAATTTCAGTGTGTTATTTTTCGTGCAGATGCATATCGCTTGATGGTAGAATACTGAAGCATTCGCCGTTGGTACAGTTTTTTTTCAGCCAGCTCAAGATTAGTTCTGGAACATAATAAATCGAGTGGTAGATAATCGTTACTTCTGCATAAGAATAGCAGGTATTGGTGAAATATACTGTCAATACAACTATAAACTGCCTTATATTGGTGAATTTTTCACACTACAATTGAAGAATTAGCAAATACAACCACAAATTAAAATTGCTGCTTGATATCGGTAATGCATTTGTAATGAGTAACATGTTCCTATTTAACTTGCTGATAGTCTGTTAATTTCTCTGTTATTTCAAAGAAAAGCAATATGGTTGATAATATTATACGTACGGGTGAAACGTCCCATCATTAGTTCTAGACTAAATAGACACCTTCGAAAATTTTGCTGGAACTTTTCGAAAATGGATAAATAGAATGATTTCAAATTGATCTCTTTTTTATAAGATAAATTTTAAATAATTTTTCTCGGAAGGAATATTTGAATGCAGATGGTGATGAATTGAACCGTAAATGACTAACATTCGATGACGTATATGAGAGATTCTATTGAAATATACTGGCAAATTAATTTAGACCAAACTCTTTGGAAAGTTGTGAACACTTATAAAATCGAAGAAATTGAAGTATTGTTCTATCTCAATATTGAACCAAATATCTGCAGTGCAAACACAGATATTGTTATACTGGATCAAATTTTAATTAAACTATTGAACAAATTCTTTATCCTCATTTATTTGGGCGCCAACGAAATGCAATATGGACGGTTCACAGATAACATAGGGGTTTATTGCTAGCGAATTCTTGTGGTCTTTGCAAGCAAATATCATTGGACTTGTGTCACATTGTCAAACTTATTAACTGAACTTAATTAGATTTAGATATCGAATTTTTTTAGTTTAGTTGAATGTAAAATGTTTCGTCACGTTTGATTATTTTGCTCCATCGATTAGTTAGACCTACTTGTTGTCAAGGCCAGAGAATGTTGCAACAAAGACCCAAAATAAGCATTAACTTGTGGAATGTACAACACTGCCAAGTCTGGTAAAACAAAACATAAATGCTAGAAAATTTTGAAAGTGCAGCATATTATCCAGTTTGCAGTGAATAAGTCTAATAGAAGACCTTCAAAATTAATAAGTGAATAATATTTATTTATTTCAAATGGCAGGCTTTATTATATTTATCATTAGCCCTTAAACTTTGGCTTCAGCTTCCCCCAAGGTTGGGGTACTTATATAGCAGTTAATTAATAGCAATTCATTAGCTGTCTTCTTGCTTCCCAGTATCTCTGGCTTTCCGTCCTTGTCTTTAGGGCCAGACACCGAATCAGGCGGGTCTTTTCCATTTCCTCCTGTAGGTTACATAGAGGGCATATCTGTTGAGTGCATACTCCTAATCTGTGAAGGTGTTTTGTCAAGCAATCGTGTCCGGTACGTAGTCTAAACTCAGCGACGGCTTCGATTCTTGGCCAGTTGGCTATGTCGGAGAGTGCCACTGTCTACTATTTCTCCTTTGTTCGAGCTTTAAGTTCGTTGCACCTTGAGGTCTGAAATTCTCTTCTGATTAAGGCCTTCATTGTGTGGAAAGACATCGATCGGCCCATGCATTGCAAAATCGTTGTCTCCTTCTTAGCAAGTGTGTCAGCAATCTCATTGCCTTTAATGCCACAGTGACCAGGAATCCATTGTAGGACCACTGTTTTGTTTTTCTCTCTCAGCAGCTCATAGAGTTTTCTACATTCCTTTATCTCAGCTGTTTTGGGTGGCTCTCTGTTTCCAATTGAGTTTATTGCTGACTGTGAGTCCGAAAGTATCACCGCTTTGATGAATTTCTTATCCAGGCAACATAATTGGCATAGTGCTATCCTAATGGCCTCTATTTCTCCTTCAATAGCGACCATATTGTGTCCCGCTGCTGCGTAGAAAGAGAAGAGTTCAGAATAGACACCTGCACCAACGTTTGCTTGGTTTTCTATGTATGACCCATCAGTGAAGACTTGGAGCCATTGATCTGCAGGATAGTTGACATTGATTGTCTCAAGGGGCAGTGAGCGCATTTGCTCTAGAGGGTGTTTGATTTCCTGAAGAAGTCAAGCAGTTGGGTGCAACACACTACATCAGTGTCTGCTAATGGGTTCATGGGGAGAAAGAGGCTTATTGGTTTGTCATCGATTTGTAATTCTTTCCTCAGTTCTATGGCTTTCTGTATTAGACCAGATTGCGTTTTCAGATGTCTTGGTCTATTCTCATAGGTGCTGAAGAACTTATCCATGGGAATGCGCAGTAGCTTCTCATACAGGATCAAGGCCTTCTCTTTGATAAGGGAACTTATTGTAGTGCTTCCTGTAACAAGGAGCATTGAATCAATGGGTTTTTATTTTATCCCTCCAGTAATTAGTCGTAATGCTTGGTTGTGTGCCTTCTAGAGTGATTTGAGAGTCACCTCTGTGGCTGTAATGAGTGGCTCACAGCAATACAACATTATTGGTTGAGTAAACATCTTGTAAGTGGTGTTGAGAGTTGGGCGTGCACAGCCCCATAGGCTACCAGCAAGACGCTTCAGTACATTCAGTCTATTGGGGACTCGTTCTGCTATTTTAGCAATGTGACTTTTCCACGTTAGCTTTGTGTCAAACGTCATTCCGAGATAAGTGAACTCATAGAATAATATTCATTCCCATATTTACAATAAACTTTCCTAATACCAAACTTTGTATGTTTTCGCTATTGTTGAGCTAGCCTTAAGAAACTTTTGAGGAAAAAATTTATATTGGAGGAAGCTGAGAGATAGTCGAGCCTCCTAAAGCGTTGCTAAGGCTTAGTCAAGGTCATATTTATTTAGTGTTCGCTACATTATTGGCGAAATTGATGTAATCCTTTTGTCTGACTTTGTTTTCCTTTATCTCGCACTTTGATCTTCTCATTTAGTGCTTCTTATCCTCTTCTGACAAATTCCACCAATTCGTATTCTCTACGAGGAAATCTCTCCTTCCTTTCAACTGGCCTCAAAATATTTAATGATGTAGAACCTAAGGCGAACACAGGGTTCGTTCTTCTCATTTATCCTCTCTTTGACTCAGAGGACCGATCAATCTGGCTAAGAAAATATGGGAAAGCTCTCAGCTACGGAACATAATCAACACAGCATAGGAGAAAGACCTCTAGCTACTCCTTCTTTCTAAATTCCTTGAGGTTCACGTTTTTATTAAAAATTTTACCTCTTTCAATATTTTCTGCGCATTCACTTACTTGACCAATTTGACCTACATGACATTTTATGTCTCAACAATGCCTCCCCTGGTACCCTATTTAGGTCCCCATCTGTTTCTCATACTCAGTACGAAATTGTGGTACCCAAGCATGAGTTGCGAGGCCGTATCAATGGCACCGGATAGTACGTATTACCCAAAGCACACGGTTTTCGACTTGATAACTGCAAAGATAAAAAAAAAGAATTTTAACTGACTGTATTTTCGGGGATCATTTGACTCTTGCGGTTCTCATTTGCATATGGTCGGAAAGAAAAACAGCAATTGGTGACCATGAGTAAATTATTATGCACTCAAGCAAATAACTGCCCAAAATGCCTATACCTTCTATCATATCAACGGTTTTTGCCTCGTCTAAATAATACAATTCTTTGCACAAACTGATTCTTGTTTCAGCTTTTCACCAGTTCCCTCTGGCCCAAGAAGATATATCGAAGGCGGTGGTATTCGTATCATTCTGTCTCTTCGAGTTCACCGTGTGCACATTGCTTTTCGTAACGCAGTACAGTCATTGCAACGAGTTATGAACCAAGTATTACATGTTATAAATTTTGTCTTTGCTTGTGTTTTTGATGTCTTCTTTGTCAGCTCAAAACCTGGGGTGTGCCTTGAGCAATAAGAGATCATCATTGGCCCTAAGAAGTGCATTTATGTCAGTTTGAAGTCGATTTCCCAGGCTACTACGACACACACGATATTTTCTCCTTACCCAAGAAGACACTATCAGGTATCACTCTTTCCCTTTTCCTGAATTCACTGCGGTTTTTCAAACCCAAGCTGAGACCTTTTGTTCCCCAATCATGCCACCGGAATACCTTCTATTACTTTCAACGACAATCAGCCTGCTTACCGATCGTTTCATCTTCAAAAACCGTTAGAATGACATTGTCTCATTTGCACAATTCAAAGAACATGCTCTCTTCTTTTCTTTTGCCTTGTGATCGTTTACCACATATAGGTTCTCGCCCTCTCCATCAAACTCACACTCACTTCCTAGCCTGTATTGATCATTTTACGTGTTCACCTGTTACAATTCCGCTGTGGGATCTTTCATCTGGAATATAAGAAACCCATTACAAGACCCTCTCAAGGACCCGTAAATACTAATATTTCCATAATATTTTGAATGAACTATGCATGTGCGATCGTTTGGAAATGCCATTCTCCATCATTGCGATATATTTGGCAATTAAAATGGTTAAACTCCTTAGTTCAAATAGAATAGTACTCCTGATGTTTGTGCTTCATTTAACGGCCTTACTTCAATTTCTTCCATAATAAAATCTTTTTCTTAACATCTTATTATTATTGCATATCGTAAGGATAAGGCAAAAAATATTGGGGTTATAATCTGTAAAATGTATAGAGGAGGAAAGCAGGAATGTTTCGAAAAAGGTTGCAATCTGACTGGAGTCCTTCAAGTTCCACCAAGAACAATGATGACTGATGATTATTAGTCTGATCCAGCCTATGGCCACACGGCGCTCCCAAATAGGCTTCTCCATCGGTTCTCTGTGCAAGGAGACGCGCACTTTAGTTTGCAAATTTGCAAACCTACTTCTACTCAATCAATTCCTTCTTGGCTCCCATTCATTTAAAAGTCATCCTAATTAGTGTTCCTAGGATAAACAAAGCGTGGATCAATTGACATTACTATTCTTCTTCGACGCCTATCAATAATCGGGATGGAACGGTACATCCCAGTTAACCTTTTCTAAAGAAGAATGGGCCTGAAGGGAAACAATGTCCACTTTCAGACGTTTCATGGTCATTCATAACACGGTAATAACGGAGCGTCCAAATGCTTGTGAAGATTACAGAATTGACTAGATCTACGCATCATGTGATCTCAAGATTGGATAGAAGATGATTGGCGCGTTCCTCGTGATTTCCAAGGACGCACGTTATTCATTATTTTTCAATCAAGTTAATGTCTGCAAACGATATAGAGCTAGAACTTCAAACAGAGCCAAGCGAAGTTCCATTAACTGAAGACTGTTATGGTGACATCACTCCGGAACTTAAATTATTAGATCGTAGAATGACGAAGTCAGAATGCGACGAAAAAGATTCAGAGCCTTTCCTCAGCACTCCAATACCCTTGATTCGCAGATATTCATATTACGAATTTAACGGTGATTGCTATTTTCAAGAAGCCTCTGAATTAGAACCAGTAATAGTCAGTAGATCAAATAGTCCGGAAGGAAGAAAACTTGTTTTGGTCCCAGCTCCAACTTCGAAATTCAGATTATTGAACAGCAAATGGAAGGGCCGACTATTCCGACATTTAAAGAGAGCAACAGAGAAACAAAAAAGAGACGAATCACCAGAAGTTGCCCACATCAGTTTTAAACCACGTACGAATATCTTCTATCTTTTTTGAGAAAAAATTTGGTCAGAAGCTCCTCACTCCTGGACAAATGAGAGCGTTGATATTTGTTTTGGATTATACATTTATTTAAAAGCATATTTTACTCTTAGTTATGTAAGCAATTAGAGTGCTGAATAAGAGATTTCTATGATTCCAATCTCTTGCTTAAAAGTTCTGCGATTCCATTATTTTCGTTAATAAAATTCTCAACCACACTAAAGTAAATGTTAAAAACATCTTACTTGGTTATAATTGGAAGAATTCTGCAGTTTCTCTTATGAGGGAATATCACTCCATCACCAGCCCTGTTGAGGATTGTAACCTATGCGATTGGTCATTCAAACCACAAGATGTGCACCAAAAGCACCACCACAGACTTTGCAGACGTGAACATTAGATTGAACGATCCTCGCTAATTAATCGCAGTTTTAAAAGATCTTTCTATTGTCATTAATATTCGCATCACTTAGAATAATAATTTCACGAGCATCAATTCAAGAAAATGCGAAAGTTATTACTAATACATTAAAGGTAGTGGTAAAATGTATACACGCTTGCATGTTCGAGAAGGGATAGGCCACTGTTCAAAAGGGTAATAGTTTAGTAAGTCGAGGCGGAGGAGGTGATAACAATTGCTAGAAAAGCCGTGGCACTAAAAGCGTTATAATGGTCGGAACAACCTTCAATTTGAAAGAATTTTAATTTCATCAGTTTCTTTCTCTACAGCAGTATCATCTCTTTGCTCAGATGTAATATCTAAAATTGAACACACGCATGCCACTAAGGTATGGTTCATTTTAAATAAGTACAGAGGAGAATCTATCTCACCATTATTATCGACTTCTTCATGCTCTTTATCCTCCCCATTGGTATCTTGAGCTAATTGCGAGAAACATTTTCTTAAAATATTCTCATATATATATATATATATATATATATATATA